ATGAGAAAGGTGGCCATGGGCTCACGTGTTTGAATGTTTGCTAGCTATTTGGTGGAACTATTTGGAGGTGTGGCCTTGTTGGAGGAGGTGTGCCATGTGGAGTAGGCTTTGAGGTTTCAAAAGTCCACACTATTTTCAGTTAGCACTCTCAATGTCTCCCCCCCCCCTTCTCTTGCTGTTTCTCTCATGCTGTCTGTCTGTCTGTCTCCCTACTTGTGGATCAAATTTTAGGTCTTAGTTACTGCTCTAGTACCATGCCTTCCTAAGCACTGCCAAGCTCCATGCCATGGTGGTTATAGACCCAACCTCAGACACTATAAGCAAGCCCCAATAAACTTTATTCTAGAAATTGCCTAGGTCACAACAATGGAAAAGGAGTCAGTCCACTTTGAGGATTACAGGCAGGCCCACTTCTCATCGTAACTGTCACCTAGGAGAATCCAGTTCTTAAAAACTAACCCTGAAGTTCCATCTGCTGATACATCTGATTTTGTTGCACAAAACAGTGTCCATAAGGAGCTCCTATGCTGTGCTGAGGCTTTCGGTGCCCACCAAATATGCTGTGTCCATTTGTTTCAGGAGCTAAGATGCAAAGTCATCATCTTAAAATAGAGCTCCATTGTACGGTGGCTGGAAGGTGAGCAAGTTCTAAGCCTGTGTGTATACACAAGGGAGGTAACCTGAGCAGGGGCCAAGAAGTGCCTCTGTTTTGTTTCCAATCTCAGATTAGAATTAACAAATGCAACTTGTTCTGACCTGATATCAAATCTAAGTTCAGAGTCACTCCGCAGGACTGACCAAGGACCTTCTGGCAAAAAGTGCAGTCTTTTTCTCACATGCTTTGTGCCTTGGTTAAGAGCGGGGCTGTGTCTGGGTTGGGTTCTGGCTTGGTAATACTTTGTCATCCCTGTATCTCAGTTACTCAAACTCTAAAAATGATGATTGGGCTTTGATTTTGGTTCATCTTAGACAGTGTCTCCTATATCCCAGGCTGGGCATCAGCTCACTGTCTAGCAATGGATGACCTTAAACTCTTTGTGACCCCCCCTCACGGTACTGGGATTGAAGGTGTGCACCCCCACAGGCAGTCTAAAACAGGAAACTATATCTAACACAAAAGTCCATTGTGCACATTAACAAATGTGTAGCATGACTACCTCCGTAATTGGTAGATAGTCAGTAGTCAATAGTCTCTTGTCATAGTTGGCACTGCCCTTATACACAGCCCCATCCCCTCAGCCAGTTTAAGGTAGTCCGTATAAGAAGGTGGTGTGCTGAGCCACACATCCTATTTCATCATTCCATCCTGTTTCATTTTTAACCTTGAGACACCCGCCACCCAAACCCGTGCTGTATCATTCCCTTGTAAGTAATCATTTCTATAATCATCCTTCCAACATGTAGGAAAAGGTGGTGAGCCCTGGGCTCCTCTGCTCTCACAGCATCCTGTTGTCTAATCAGATGTGGGGCTCAGGCTTGGCCAACAGCCCCTTTTCAGGTAACTTGTTGCTACTTTCCTACTGTTGAAAGGGAAAGGAGGGGAACCGGACCTTTCTAAACACTCCTGCTAATTAGAATCAAACCAGTCGAAACCCATATTTTTCTGCCCTCCCCCTTTGCAAATGGTAAATATCAGGGGGCCGCAAGGTAGCTCAACTGGTATAAGTACCTGCTACCCAGCCTGATGACCTGAGTTTCATCCCTTGACTTAATAGAAAGAACCAACTCCCACAAGTTGTCCTCTGACGCAAGTGCACATGCTCGAACACACGCACACGCACAGATAAATGTAAAAACAGTTTAAGAAAAAGGAAAAATAAAGTTAGTATTTGTCCTGACCAATATATAAATTACAGTTTTTGACCCATAGCTAATGTTAGAAACAAGTTTGGGTTGCGAAGAAAGAGACCAGCTTCTGACCAAAGTGTTTATACAAGGCAACACTCTTGATCAAGAGGATACATTCAAATACTGAGTGACTCACAGAGACAGGAAATGCACTGGTGTTTTATTCTAACTCAGGAGGTAGCTGTATCTTTTCTGCGTTGGCTGGAACTGACTTCATGGTCTATTCATTTAGCTAGTCTGACAATAATTCCCACACAGGAAGTGAGAAGAAGGGGAAAGGGCTGCATACCCCTTCAAATTCCTAGACTGGAACAGTGACCTGTGGGTAAACAAAGGTTTTACTGGGTGGGAAGCGTTAGAATATTTGCATAAAAGTCTTACAAGGTGGGAAAGAAAGATTAATTCCTTGTTCTAAGCACAAATTGTATAGTATTTGATAGAAAAGAGTCATATTTTATATCTCTAACACTGGAGAAGATGTCCTCATTGTCCCTCACAAGTTGACCGGGGGTGGTTAAAGCAGGTTTGCAGTATCAAAGTGACAGAGAAGGACTTGCTTTTTGATGGACATCATGGTTCCTGTTTATAATACAGCCTGGGCTTTACTCCGCAAAATTCCCACTAGTGTTATTGACCTCACCACCCTCTCTCACCTGTGAAGGTCACACAGTGGAGGCCACAGGTCGCAAATTCACTGTATATCCTGGGTGGCCTGCCTGAAATTTACCTAAGTGCTTTTAAATTCAAATTCTTAATTATTGATGCATTTAGTACTCATTTAGGTCATGTTTTATTCTCCCAAATATTAAAGAAAAACCTTTTAAAGAAAGAGAGAGAGCTTATCTCAAAAACACAGGGACAGGAAAGGGTAGGGGAAATATAGAGAACTGATCATACTGTTTGAAAGGCACTATCCAAGGGCTCATGGAAGAATTATAAATTCATCTTATATCATACAATCTATTTTATAGCAAAGTGTAGTGAATTGGGTGAAATGGACTCTAGGAACTTTTTCCCATAAGTGAATGACAGTGATCTAAATGAGCAAAATTCATGTGGCCCTAAAACGTAAGGGACTAAGGGTAGTTCCTATCATATGGAAGACCTAGGTGCCAGTCTCTAAATCCTTGCTGGGCCTCAGTCTCTTGGGCTGTAAACCAGTGAGAACGGATGGCACAGGATGACTCTGTAACCTGATTTATATTCTGCCTTATTTGACTTCAGGTGTGATAGGGGCTGTGGAAGAATGGGTGCAGGGTTCCTTTGCAGATCACTGACTGGTTGCTTTAGCCTGATGGTGCAGTTGGGAGCATGAAACCAGCATCTTTTAGTTCCCTTACTGTCACTGTGAATGTCTTTAGTGGATGTGCATATTTGCTAGGTTGTAACGGCTTAAATGAAGGCAGACAGAAATTGTAATAATATATACAGCTTTAATTGGGAAAGAGACTTACAGAACCAGAGGTTCCAGCGGAGAACAGGAAAGCAGAAGGGGCGGGGGAGAGCACACCAGCAATATTTATTAGTAAAAAATATCCTCAGGCAACCCCGCCCTACAAACAAGGTGATTGGCTGGGGCTACCCCTACACTAGGTACCTTGAGAAATCCATTTGTGGGTTCCTCTGTTCAATCTTTTCAACATCTGTTAACCCCAGAGATGTGAGGAGAAAGACCACCAACCCAAGTCATCATGGCCCATTAACCAATGCAAGCTTTTTTTTTATTATTATTATTCTTGTGAACAAGCTGCCTCCACCCAAGGCTGAGTTCTAAAAAGCAGCATTGGATATGGGCAAGATAAGAATTTTTATAGCTCAGGGGTAGGTGGTTTCCAAATGGAGATTTGTCTTTCTTTTAAAGATGACTTTCAAGCCCTAGATGGAGGCAGGCTGGTTAATCACATCCCCATAGTGAGATTACCCCCAGAAGAGAGAGAGAGAGAGAGAGAGAGAGAGAGAGAGAGAGAGAGAGAGAACAAAAGAAATAAAAGGAGGACATGGCTGCTCCCAAGAGGTGGGTTGTTGTTTTTTTTTTGTTTTTTTGTTTTTTAATCATAGATGTAAAGGAAAGCACAGGCAGAGACATAGACACATCTGAGAGAGTTAGAGAGTAAACTTGACCAGCAGATTGAGCCAGGCTATGCTGAGGAGAGAGGAGAATAAAGGAGGGGAACCAGGAATAGCAACCAAGAGGCAAGAGGCAAAGAGATAAAAAAAGGAGGGGGGGGGTGTAAGTAGCAATGTCTGAATTCTATAGGGAAGAGCATCTGGGGAAAGGGCAGCCCAGCTCAGTTTCTGGGCTGGAGAAGTGTACGTGTTGGGGGTGTGGGGGAGTGCTAGTCAAGACAAAGCTGTTCTGGGTAGGGACTGAGGGTGCTGGGAGAACCTGGCAGCCAGCACCAGCTTTGATATGTTAATAGGGCACCAGGTTTGAAACCTAACACCCCACCCACACCCATTTATAAATTATGCAGGGAATTAAGGTTGGGAGAGTCAAATACAGACTCAGATTTGCTTGAGTCAAACAGCTAGGATTGCAAACTCCTAACATTGCATGGCACAGGCCACCCTGTTCTCATTTTCTGGTCCCCAGTGCAGCACAGCACCCCTGAGTGCCAGAGTAAACACACCCAAATCAACATCTCTTTAGTCTCTTTGTGGCCTTGTCCAAGCCAAGTTGCAGGAGCTCATGCCTTAACCTAAACCATCAGATGATGCTTTAGCTGTAAATCCAGTCACACAAAGAATGAAACACGCGGAGACACACACACACACTCTAGCCAGCATTTCAGTTGACACGCCTGTGTGTCAGTCTGAAGACTAACTGACTTTTCTTTCCCACAGTGTCTCTATTGGGTGTGCTCTTAGCCTCTAGATAAGCATCTTAAAGGCGGGAGTGGGGGATCTAATATCAGGAATTGAACCCTGGAACTGATTTAAAATTCAGCATCACACAGATCTAGGAAAGCTATGTAATAGAGAAGGAAAGACCACCGAAAATATCTGAGAGGCTAGCCTGAGCTCACTTATGCAGGTTCTTCCAGGTTGGGGATGGAGATTGTGTAAGTGCTTGAGACCAAAGCCCAGGGGGCTGCCAGAGGTGTAATTGAGACCTATGATGCTGCTAACTGATTGTATCTTTGACACTTCAGGAAGATCTGTCAGAGGTGGTTGAACACAACACAGTGGCAGAGCAACAGACGGCATTGGAGTCACCTGACAGTGTGGTAATTTATGTTTGGAATTTACTCTATTGGGGTAGTGTGTTGTGTGAACTGCATTCCACAAGAAAAGGAGATGATTATAAAGTCAAATCTGTTCTTACCGGCAGACGGTTAAGGTGTCTTAAAGCTGGTATCAATGCACAATTAATGTCACTGATCACACTCAGGTATGGAGAAATGTACTTTCTCCACCATTCTGTACTGGTAGCCTACCCAGGTATTTAAGACTCGCTTGAGCCAGCAAGATGGATCAGCAGATAAAGGTGCTCATTGCCAAACCTGATGACCTCATTTGAATCGCTGAGATTCACCTGGTAGAGAGAGAAAACTGACTCCCAAAAGTGGTCCTCTGACCTCCACAGCCAATCCACAGCACACACACAAATATTTTCAAAGACATCCTTTTGCAGTTAAAATTTAAGACTGCCCTATCTTATACAATGCCATAAATAAAATTTTCAGATGGAAGAATTTGCAGTTTGATACAGGTATAACTACAATAACTTTAGTGTTCCTCAAATTTTGAATTTTATTTTTCTTTACAAGCTAGAGGTCTGAGGACATCACTGGATGGAAGAGTTAATACCTTGTATGTGCCAGGTCCTAAAGCTTATGAACTGTTTGGTTGGTTACTTAGGGGTTTTTTGGGGGGAGGAGTGGTGGATAGGGCCTTATGTAGCCCAGATTTGCCTTAAATTCATGTAGCCACGGCTGAATGTGAACTCCTGCCTCCTCCCCTCAAGTCTGAGATGTCTGCCCTGAGCCCCACACCCAGCAAGCTATCAGCTTGTGTCTATCAAATGTTCACTGTTTTTAATTTTTTTCTCTTTTTAAAAATCCTGGTTTTTATTTCTATGTACTAGTTTATGCTTTAAGAACTGTTTTCATTTTTAACTACGTATACTTGAAAGTGTCTGTATATGAGTATGTATACATGCCCTAGTTAGGGTCACTATTGCTATGATGAAACACTACTAGGGAGGAGAGGGTTTATCTTGCTTTACTCCCATATCACAGTTCATATACAAGAGTATATACAGGGTGGTGCATGCCTTTAATCCCAGCACTTGGAAAGCAGAGGCAGGTGGATCTCTGAGTTCAAGACCAGCCTGAACTAGTACCAGGATAGCCCGGGCTAACCAAAGAAACCCTTTCTCTCTCTTGAAACACCCCCCCCCAAAAAAAGAAAGAATTTGATATTCCAAACATTTCCAAATAAAATGCTGTGGTGCTCTTCCAGAGAGGACCTGGGTTTGACCCACAGCACCCACGTGGTGGCACACAGTCGTCCATGAGGCCAGGTCCAGGGAATCTGATGCATAAATGTGGAACAGACTACATGCAGACAAAATACCCATGTGCACAAAGTAATAAAATAACTCAAGAAATAACTACATTCAGCTCATCCAAAAATGTTTGCAGTTCAAAACCTACCGCTGCATTACGATGCCAATAGTGCATTTTGCCGCCAGTACTGCCGATGCTGCGGCACTCTGGACACTCACCGGTTCAGGGTGTGCGGCAGCCATCTCTGTAGTTTGATGGAATTTTAAACCTCCTCTGCCCATTCTTTTCCCTGCTGAAGAACATGCACTGTCCCCTCTGGAAGGCGATGATGCTTTTTCTGGGACTGCAGAAGAGAACGGCCCATGGAGGTGGACAGCCAAACTAGCTGGCTCTGGTGGACATGGAATGTTCTTTTCTGAAGTTTCTGACCCAGAGCTCACCAGTCATGTATGGGGCGGGGGCGGAGGCGGGGGCGGGGCCTTGCTGGAATTAAGTCCTCTTCCACCTTCACAACCACTTCACAACATGCAGCTGTCCCACTAGCACCATCCAGAATAGGAGGTCAAGTGCCATCTGCAGTCACAAAGCTTATTAGGGGCTGCAAACTTGAAGTATGTTCTTTGATATTGTGAAGACTGACCATCTTCCAGAAAGACATTGATAAGTATGAGTCTATGTGACTTTGAAGTTTTTAGAGCCCTGAGTTAAGTAGCTATGAGCCGCTGTGCTACCCCCCAGTTTTTTTTGTAATAATCCCTCCACACATGCTCTTCTTGTTAGTAATGTGTGAGAGGAAAAGGCGTTTTTAGTAAGGATCCAGTCGGTATTGAAGATGATGATAATCGGCTACTGAGATTGTTCAGCACGCGAAAGCCCTGTCTGACAAGCTTGTCCACCTGACTTCTTTTCCCAGAACCCACATAAAAAAGCCAAATGCAGTATTTAGTACCTACAGCAAGATGGGGGACAGAGACAGGTTGTCTAGAGCTGGCAGACCAGCTGGCCTGGAGCACACGGCACAAAAATGGGAGACACTGCCTGATGTGGGTGGAAGCTGAAAACCGACTCCATAAAGTTTTCCACTTATCTCCAGATATTACACTAACAATAATACATAAAAATCAAATTTTTTTTATAAAAACAAAAACAAAAGAACCGTGACCTAGCTGTTATTTCATGAGTACTCTGATTGGAGCATTCTCCGAGAACTGATTACCAGCCAGGTTCTTCCTCTAACTGGCTCTGTGGTGATACTGTCTAATACGGAGAGATGTTCTTGTGATTGAGGTGTTCACTCAGGTAATAGTGTTTTGAAAACTAGAAAGCACAATACAAATGCACAGTGGTTAAAATTGTCTTAGTTCTTGCATATTGTATGTGCCTCATGCAGAAGAACAGCCTTCCACAGACAGGATCTTGGAGTATTGCGGCTCTGGAGCAGATGTCTCTAGAGTCCAGAGACAGCCTGGCACTTACTGGAATCCAGCAGACAAATCACGTCACCACCTCTCCTTTTTATGTGACTCCTGAGAAGGCATGGAGTGCTTCATTCTTCTTAGTTAGTTAATGCTAATATTCATGGGGGTGTTGTCAGCAAAAGCACAAAACTGCAAGTCAATCTAACACTTATATCCTGCTCCCCCTTTTTGATCAAGCCTCCCTATAAGTTTCTTAGGAGCAAAGTTAAATGGGAGACAATACAAAAATCAGCCTAGTTTTCTCTTGCCACCTCCGAGTGAGCACCCTGTTTTCTGAAAACACATTTTTGAAACTCACCATTATTTTGTTAGCAATAATACAGCAATTTTACAGTGTTCTTATTACTTCTCTCCTTCTTGACATTCATGTAAATTTCCTTCCTTTTGTAGGCTGCCTGCCAGATGAAACAACAAGCGTATTCAGCTCAAGCCCCCGTCAGCTCCCAAGAGCTCCCACTGGCACCAAGCCCATTGTGTCAGTCCAAAGATGCAGACTTCACAGGCTCTGGTACGACTCATGAACCTTTGGAGAAGACAAATGTCACGATGCTCTGAGAATGAGGAGGAGGACACTTGGGTCTGTGTCCCTCCTCGACGGCCGTACTTTTGAGCTTGAACACCCCACTTTCTGCCCTGTTTCTTATTTCTTTACTATCTGCATCCCCTAATATTTACTGGATGTAAACACAGATGAGAAAAGGGCCTCCAAAGAAGCATTTGATGAAACTAAAGCCTATAGATTGCCTGCCAATCTCTCCCAGAGACTAAGGTTAAGTCATGGATAATGTCTCCAAAACCATAATGAAAGCTGTTTTTAACACTATGTATTTGATATAAGCCATTGAGGATTTATTTTTCAGTAGAGAAGTTGGTATTCTGAGCCAGGCATGGTGGTGCCTATAATTGCATTTGAGAAACAGAGGTAGGAGGATCAGGAATTTAGGGTCATCCTCAACTACATAGTGAATTCCAGGACAGCCTGGGCTCTAGGAAGTCTAGTCTCAAAAAGAAGAAAATGGAAGGAGGCAAGGATAGAATTCATGTTGTAGCTTGAATGATGATGAAGAGTGAGGGCTGAAAGTAGAACTTCAAAGCAAGTGATCAGTGTCTCCACTTTGCTTTTATGCAGTATTTATCAGTAAAAAGCCAAGGGGTGGGTGTTGGGGGAAGGCTACTAGTTCATTTCCCAACCACCCTGACTTGAATTAATCACACAGAAACTGTATTATTTGCAATACTGTCTGGCCAATATCTTAAGCATACTTTTAGCTAGCTATTATATCCTATGTTAACCCATCGCCCTTAATATGTGGCTTTGGCTTACTAGGTAAAGTTCCGTCCAGCATCCAGCGTCTCTCCAGCAGGGCTACATGGCTTCTCTGTGACTCCGCCTACTCTATCTATATGTCTCTTTCAGCTGGCTTTATTCTGATAAGCCATTGGCCAAAAGCAGCTTCTTTATTAACCAATGGCAATAAAACATATTCACAGCATCCATCACTTCCCACATCGGGCGGGGCTGCTGCTGCTGCTGGAAAGGTGGCTCCAAGGTTAAGCGCCTGCTGCTCTTCCAGAAGACCCCACAGCAGGCAGCTCCCATCCTCCTGTCACCTGAGATCTGACACTTTCTGGTCTCCATGAGCACCTACATTCATTTGCTCTTGCCATGCACATACATATGATTAAAAATAAATAAAATCCCAGTGCTCAGGCAGGGGGATCTCTGTGAGTTGGAGCAGCCTGATCTACATAGTTAGTTCCAGGTCAGCCAGAGCTACCTAACAGACCTTGTCTCAAACAAACAAACAAAAAGGTCCACCTATGATGAATGTGTAATCCTGTGCTGACTTGCACTCTTTTTCATAAATGTCAACTCTGTAGAAAGTTTAGCACATAGGTATATTTGGTTTTATGTCAAGGTAAATTGATGAATATCATCAGCAAACAAACTACAGACGAAATGTAGTCCACCACCTATTTCGCTTCATCTGGGAGCTAGAGATGGTTTTATATTTTAAAGATTGAAAACAATTGAAAGTCAATTTTATGAAAACTGCATGAAATTTGGACTTTAGCTCTCCTTAACACATCATTGAGCATTGCTTATATATTGTCTGAGGCTGCTTGGCTCTTCTGATGCCATGTGATGGAGTTAAACAGCTCCAGCAGAGACAGTCTGGCCTAAAGTGCCCAAACTTGTAACCTGGCCATGGATACAGACCAGGAGGGTCTGGCTAATGTACATCATGTATTTGTACAAGGTAATAGCAATTCATGGCCCTATATTTTATCAAACAATATTCATCTCTCATCCACATAAAATAAAAATAAATCTTCTCAGACATGGTGGCCCACACCTCTAATCCGAGCACTGAGAGGCAGAGTCGGGTGTATCTATGGGAATCTGAAGCCAGACTGGGCTCCAGATAGAGTTCCAGGACAGGATATCCAGGGCTATGGAGAGGGACCCTGTCTCAAGACACTAAAAATTAAAAATAGCTCTTATAAAACAACTCAAAAGTGACTTAGGACAATGGGGTGGAGGGATAAAAATGCCATCTCTAGCATCTTCCTGTCCTTTCTCTACTCCGGGGACTACAGTAGTCATTCATAACAGCAGAGTCAGGTTTCCAGAGCTGCCATGAAGTGTGCCAGTACTGTATGCCATGTTTATGGTAGGTTAGTGGGAAACAACATGAATTATATAAACTGCAAAAATAGAGAGAAAAATCTTTATAAAATTAAACTTTTTGTTGTTTCTGGGGCTGTATCACTGGAATGCTCATCTTAGCTAGGTCTTTAGATCAGCACGTCCTCGTGTAGAGCTGTGGTGCTGGGTGAGTCCTGGAGCAGGCCCGGCTGGAGGCCGGCACCTCACCCACGCTGTCCCGCTGCTGTCCCGCTGCTCCTCTGTCCTGCTGAGTAACGCTTACCTCACTCACTCTTCAGCAGTGAGCCAGTTTTACTACATAGGAATCTGCAGTTTAGGTGCCTGAGTCTACTTCTGTATGTTTAAACCCAGCTCCCCTGTGTTATCAAGTTATAATTATTGAATCAAGAACTCCCTGGGCTGGAGAGATGGCTCAGTGGTTAAGAGCACTGCCTGCTCTTCCAGAGGTCCTGAGTTCAATTCCCAGCAACCACATGGTGCCTCACAACCATTTGTAATGAGGTCTGGTGACCTCTTCTGGCCTACAGGCATACACACAGACAGAATATTGTATAATAAATAAATAAATAAATATTTTTTTAAAAAAAGAGCTCCCACAGGTCCACTTCCTTTGTTTTGTGCTAAAAATCTTCTTCTTCCTTCTTATATCCCCTCCTCTGGAACAGGATGCAGGGAGGGGGAACCCTGTCTTGCTTTTGTAACCCAGGCTGGCCTTGAATTCAAGATGACCCTCCTGCCTAAGTCTCAGGAGTACTAAGATAACAGTACATGTAACGTGAATGGGGGCCTGCTTGTTGGGGTTTTTGTCCCACCTGGTACCCCACAACTGTTTAGCCCCAAAGAAAATCACACATAGGTCTCCATAAATTATAAGCTGATTGGCCTATTAGCTCTGGCTAACTCTCACATCTTGATTAACCCATTTTTCTGATCTATGTTAGCCATGTGGCTCAGTACCTTTTTCAGTGGGGCAGATCCCATCCTGTTGCTTCGGTGGTCTAGGCAGGAGTGGGAGGAATCAACTTCCTCTTTCCCAGAATTCTCCTGTTCTCTTTGCATTATTTCTACTTCCTGTCTGGTTTTCCCGCCTATTCTTCCTGCCTGGCCAATCAGCATTTATTTAAAACACGCTTGACAGAATACAGACAGTTCACCATAACAGGAGTGTGCCACACATAGCCGAAACCAAACTTTTCTATAAAGAACTGTATGGCCACCATTTGAGCTCACAGGCCGCACAGCCTGTTGCAGCTTTTCATCTCTACCTGTGCAGGACAACAGCGTAACTAGGCATAAATGAATTAATGGGTCTGGGTTTCAGGAAAGCTTTGTGGACACTGAAATCTTACTTCTTGTAAGTATATAGATATAGATACAGACATAGATATATAGATATAATTGTCCTCTTTTTGTTTTTTGTTTTTTTCCTTTTGAACTTGTATAGACACTGTTGTTATAGGTGGTAGCCTGCTAATACCTGCTATCACATAGGTAGGTCAGTCTAGCACACATTTGAATCCTTGTCTTCTAGGTTTCTATGCTTTAGACACTACTGGCCAGTAGGTGGCGCTCCCTGTTGTCAGCCCCTTTGGATTTGCAGCCACCATCATGGTGATCAGACTTGGTAAAGGCAAAGCTGCCGTTCCTATTATTCTTAGATTTGGTTTTTTTATTGTGTCCCATAGTTCCTGAATGTTTTGTGTTGAGACCGGGCAGAAATCTCAAGGTCCAAATCAGGAGCAGAAGGAGACGGAGCACGAGCAAGGAACTCAGGACCACGAGGGGTGCACCCACACACTAAGACAATGGGGATGTTCTATTGGGATCTCACCAAGGCCAGCTGACCTAGGTCTGAAAAAGCATGGGATAAATCCGGACTAGCTGAACATAGCGGACAATGAGGAATACTGAGAATTCAAGAACAATTGCAGTGGGTTTTTGATCCTACTGCACGTACTGGCTTTGTGGGAGCCTAGGCAGTTTGAATGCTCACCTTACGAGACCTGGATAGAGGTGGGCAGTCCTTGGGCTTCTCACAGGTCAGGGAACCCTGATTGCTCTTCGAGCAGATGGGGGGGGGGGACTTGATCGGGGGAGGGGGAGGGAAATGGGAAGCAGTTGTGGGGACGAGGCAGAAATCCTTAATAAATAAATAAATTTAAAAAAAAAAAAAGGCAAAGCTGCCGGCAGAGATCACTTCTATAGAGGTCTCTGCAGGCACTAAAACGCTGAAAGTTTTAGTTCTTCACTAGAGTGGGGTTAGTTATATGCAAAGTGCATGTTTGGAAATAGATAATGGGTGTTTTTAAACATCCCTCTTGGCCTAGAAGCTTTTATCTGTTTTAGAAAAATGCATTCTTGAAGAATGATTTAAAAATAATAAACCTTGGGGGCTGGAGAGATGGCTCAGTGGTTAAGAGCATTGCCTGCTCTTCCAAAGGTCCTGAGTTCAATTCCCAGCATCCACATGGTGGCTCACAACCATCTGTAAAGAGGTCTGGCGCCCTCTTCTGGCCTTCGGGCATACAGACAATATTGTATACATAATAAATATTTAAAAAAAAATAATAAACCTTTAGAGGCTGGAGAGGTGGCTCAGCAGTTAAGAGCACTTGCTGCTCTTCCAGAGGACTGAGGATTGGTTCCCAGTGTCCACATGGCAGCTCACAACCATCTGTAACCCCAGTTCCAGGGAACTACCCTCGTGCACATATGCAGGCACTCACAACACTAAAAACTATGAAAAATAATAAACCTTTAACTAAATAAATAAACCTTTATACAATATTGTAAGTCTTTTAACAAGAGTTTTTTATGACATTAGGAGTAAGTTTTCATATTTTTATTATAACACAAATGTATGCATACATGTGTATATCTATATGGGTTGAATAATCTTGACCAAAATGCTTGGGACTAGAAATATTACAGATTTTGGAACATTTTCATATACATAATGAGATAGATTGGGAATAGGATCCAAATTTGAATGTAGAATCCATTTGTTTTATATGAAGGCTGTTTGAATGTGTCCATATTTTTACTTTCTCCTATCACATGAAGTCATGTGTTGAATTTTCCATTTATAGTATCATGTCATTGTTCAAAAATTTCAGATATCTGTATTAGGGGTGCTCAGCCTATGACATTCTTATAAACCCCAGTCTTCCGTCATAATAGCTCTTATTGCAGTATGCTTTGGTGGACCTAAATATTTAGTCATCTTAAGTTTTTCAATGCTGGTTTTCATGGTGGGTTTTGAGTTTTTTTAATTAAAAAAATTGATAAGTTGACAGATTGAGGAGTTAATGCCTTGTCCTGTGGGTGAGGCGAGCGGTGACCCAGCTTTTCCCTTCATAATGCCTCATGCGAAGGGAATGACGTGAAGCATACACCGTATGCTCCAGTGGGTGCAAGACAAGCTGCATCTCCTACTGCTAATCATTGTGTTTTTCACTTTCCAGGTAACTTCCAGGCTCCTCTCTCAGTGGACCCTGCAACATGTCCTATTGTCCCTGGCCAGGAAATGATCATAGAAATATCCAAGGGGCGCTCAGGGCTTGGTCTCAGCATCGTAGGAGGAAGAGACACACCTTTGGTAAGTGTCTAGAAGTAAACTTGTCTACTGTCACAGAGTTAGTTCTGAAGCTCATTATGGCCCAGGATACTTACATTGGAGGCTTAACAAAATATTTAAGTACTCATTCCCTAAAACATAAGGAAACTCAGGAGCTGCAGGAACTACACTGGTCCTCCTGCGTTTAGCTTGTAGGCCTCGTGTATCTGCATCTACCCTCCCGTCCTAGAGGATGTTGGCCTGCAGCTGACTCTCCAGTGAACTACCCAGCCCAGAAGTAAATGGACCGTGCTCTGAGCCTGAAGTTATCGACCAATGGACTTTTAACTCCTTATGCTTCATCAAAATATTGTGATTGAGGACATTTATGTCCTAACCTTCCCTCTGCCTCTGCAGTCTGAAATTGCTGCATGTCACATCCTACTTTATGTGTGATGTCCCTTGGATGGAACTGAGGATGCAGAGTTGCCCAGGACCCACAGGCAGTTGCGCTGCCTGCCTCTCACACAGACCTTGGCTTCCAGACAGCTCTAAACTCCTGTATTTCTCTTCATCTAGCATGGGGTACTGTGTCTATCCAGCTTTTATCACTAGGGAAGGATTGCCCTTTCCTTGCAGCCTTTCTTCTGTGTGACTAAGTCATATCATTAAACAGTGTTTTATTCATATACTATTTTAGTAATCTTTACTCCTGGGCTGTAGTAATGCTCAGATCTCATAAACAGCCAGAAATGGTTTATAACTGTGATCCTTGCCATACTAAAGCCATTGGGGTGGTATTGAGAAGCTATACCCTGACATGGGTACTAGCTCCCTCCTAAAGGCTCTTTTCTCCCGTTTCCCCAAAGAGATACCTTAAATACTGTAAGAAGTGAATTTGTGTATATATAAAGCTACACTTAAACAAAACAGGGCCATTACATTTTAGTGCATTTTTATACTGAATTTTTTTATGATAAAAATTTTAATGTTCAGGGGACTGGAGAGATGGCTCAGTGGTTAAGAGCATGGGCTGTCCTTCTAGAGGATCCAGTTCAATTCCTAGTACCACATGGTGTCTCAAGGCTGTCTATAACTCCAGTTCCACGGGATCCAATACCTGGGCATTGCACCTACATGGTGCACATATATATATATATATATATGTATACATAAAATGACAAATTTAACCATCTGATCTCTTTGTCATAAATAAATCTCTTCTTATGACTTAGCCCAAGATAGAACTAGATTTCCCAGAAGACTCAGAAGAATGGAGTCAGCTCAGCTGAGCAGCCATGAACTGCTCTCCCCACTGTTGGTATCAATACAGTTGTGCTCTGTGTGGGACCCAGCCTCCCCTTTCGATGCCTTGCTGAGCATCTTACTCTGCTTCTCTTGCTTGCCACCTCAAGAATGCAAAGATAAAAGTTCCTCAGGAGCATCTTGAGGTTCCTGATAGTTCTGCCACTGTTCTTGAAAGATAAGTGTCACTTAAAATGAGAGATGGGACACAGCTTTTATTTCCTAACCTCATCAAAAGCCTCAAATTAGAATCACAGAAAATATATAGGACTGTCTTTTTTATTTTTATTTTTTTTTTTTGCAACCAAAAAGAGGATAGAAGTGGAAAGTACTTGAACAACGCTCCCCCAAATTTTCACATGAAGCATGAAAGCTAGCGCATGGACCCCTTTATCCATCCAGCCAGAAGTTTGCAAACAAAGGTGGGAGGGAGACTGTAAAAAAAGAAATGTCAGGAAATGAACTGGGTATGAGCAAAACCTCTGCTGTTTGGATTTGCTTTAGCCTTGGTGCAGGGAAGGACCTCTCCTATTCCCTCCCCACCCCTTCTAATCAGAATCCCATGTCCTTTTTGTTATGTGGCCAGCAGATCTGGCCATCTGTAGAGTTAGTCTCTTGACACCTCATCAGTCCTCTGCCAGGACAGATGGCTTCTGAGATCACAGAGGGAGCTCGCATGTCCTGTCCTGTGTATTTGCATCCAGTCACCTACACCAGCCTTTGAAAGTACTGAGCTAATGACAAGGGTGAACCCTTCAGAAGATTTACAAACACACCTGGTCCTGTCCTTGGAGACAGCCTTCTGCCTCTGTTCTCGTCTGTGACGCCTCTGCCAGGCTGGCCTCTGGAGAGCACGGTCTTCTGTGATAGCTTGCATATGTTTGCTCAGTTCTTGCTTTGACCTGGACTATAAAATTGAGTGACATTGCCCTGCCTTCATTAACTCTATCTTTTAGTGTTTGCGGTCTACTTATGGTAGGAAATCAACCAATGAAAAATCATAATTCTTCCAATGTTTAGAGGGTAGGGAAAAGGGATGCTGGGTAGGGAAAAGGGATGCTGTAGAAAGCTTTTTCTGAGTTTAACTATTATACACTAATTATTATATGAAATGTGGAAGCCAGGAATCCAGATAAAGCACATTGTGCAGCCAAGGTGTGGTTTATTAATTCACATTGTATTTCCTTCCATTGATATGTGTATAATTCCATCTTTTTTCCTGTCTTCCCTTGTTCTTACTGGTCTTGGTGAAGTGTTGCTTTGCCTCACAAAATACCACACTGCTCTTCGATGACATCTAATCTGCAAGTAAAAACCGAAAGAGTGCTTACCCTGCTGAAAACTAGTGCTAGCCCCTCCCAGACCTGCCAAAGACCTTCTCAAAATGCCTGTCTCCTGATTGGGAGGGGGTTTTTGGTGGTGTTTTCTTTTGTTTTGTTTTGGTTTGATTTTTCAAGACAGGTTTCTTTGTGTAACAGCCCTGGCTTTCCTGGAATTAACTGTTGTAGACCAGGCTGGCCTTGAACTCACAGAGATTCACCTGCCTCTGCCTCCTGAGTGCTGGGATTAAAGGCATGATCAGAGTTTTACACCCACATTCTTGAAGAAACAAAATATAGCAGCCTAGAGTATTTGAGGTTATTTTATTGCCAGATGTGGGGTGGTACAGAGGAAAAGAAAACTCAGGAGTAGGTCTTTATCCTGGGCCACTGGCAGGCCCTTTTTTAGACACTGTTGCCAGCAACCACAGTGTAGACTCTCACTGCGCCCTCATGGCAGCAGAGCTGAGCACAGTGCTGATTCTTGGGGGAAAAATCTCAGGACGTTACCTGAGATGCACTGTGCCGGTGTTGATGCGAAGCGTATACTTAGGGGTATGTGCCTTAGCTAAGATTGCCAAGTGCCCTTAGTTGTTAGAGTAAATCCTCTGCTTAAGAGATAACCCAGTCAGTAAGCTGCTTACTGTGAGAGCATGAAGACCCGAGTGTGATGCCCAACATGGTATGGCGACACGTGTTTGTAACTCCAGAGCTGGGGAGGCAAAGACAGGCAGATTCCTGGGGTCCAGCCTAGCCTAATCAGCAAGTCCTGGGCCCATCGAGAAACCTTGTCTGAAATAACAAGGTGTACGAGGTTGCTCTTTGGTGTACACACACGCACACGCATGCACACATGTACACATACAAACACAAGTAGATCCCTAGTTCTCTTTATCTCTTACCTCTATATGTTTCCTATACCATGAAATGTGACTTTGTTTCTAGATGAATTTTTTTGTTTTGTTTTTTGGTATCAAGCTTCTAAAACTGCTGTAGGCACTCTTGTTGTATAATTCACATGCATCCTCACAACACCCTGTGCTAGAAGTCGTATTGGTTGTAGAATCTTCAGATGAGAGGGAGATGTGTTAGGGAATTTCTCCAAAGACATACCATGGTGGTGGGAACAGGTAGTATTTGGACAGATGGTCTGGCTTTAAAGTCCACTCTTTGGGTCTCTCTCTGCTAGCTCTACCACTGTGTGCCATCTGTAGAAGGGACTTATTCTATCTACCAAACTCTACGTGCTATTTTAACGTGTGTATCTAGAAGCTGTACAGAGCCTTACACCCTTTAAACAGGGCCCGTACCAGGCTCCTGTGCCTTTCTGAACACTAGCCCGCTGGCCTCACTCAGTTCCTCTAGTGAGTGCTGTTCCTACCTGGTGCCAAGCCTTGTGACCCCATTGGCTCTATGAGGAGTCTCTGTAATGGGTTTTATTCTTAGAGTCCCTGATTACTTCTAGGCACAACTACAGCAGTATTGAAATCATCTCATTGAAGTGTGAACTGCAAGGTTGGAAAGAGGCCAGAGGGACAGTTTTGACCTTCTTTGAAACTTTAGGATTAACTTCTTGTTGGTAAAGAATGGGAATGACCCAGTGCCTGTATCCTGAGAGTGAATCTCCTCTCATACAAAATTAGGTGTTTTCCATGGGCTCAGTGACAGGCGGGTGTCACATTATTATTGAGGACCAACAAGTGACCTGCCAGCACCCAGTGAGTGTGTTGTCCCTAGAGAACTCTTGGGAAAGGCTACACTCAACCTCTGCATAAGTATAACCACTCAGCTTCTTGCTTTATAGCAGAGGATGCACATTTACACTTATGGCTCTCATCTTCAAGATGATAGTGTGAGAAAGCGTCATAGCCCATGTTTGACATCTCACACTGTGCTCTTAACATTTAAAGTCTTAGGAGTTGCTTTATTTTATTTAACTAGCAAGTAAGGCCAAGTTATTATGGGCTAGCTTGTTTGTTTTATGGAAGTTAGAATCTGTTTTTACTTTTGCAAAGAAAAATTTAAAAATAAAAGCCCTAATTAGTATCTTTGCACTGTCTTGGGGTTTTGTTACAAGAGAAAAGCCAACAAGGGCGCTGGCTTTGCTTTTATATTTTGAGTGCTGTTCCACCAAACATGAGGCAGGTCAATTCTTTTTTTTTTTTTTTTTTCGTTTCTTTCAGAACTTCTTTTTATTCTTCTTTTATATTCTCTGATCTCTGGTTCTCTGCTCTTCATATTTATATACACCAATAAAATCTTTCAGGCAATATAGAAATTACAATATGGTTATATTATATTCTTCAAGAGAATGATTGTAATGAATACAGTTATAAAGCATGTTTTCTTTTTTTTCTTGCTTGTATAATTTTAATCCTAAATTCCAAACACTAAAGAAAACATGAGGTATTTGTTTTT